CTGAGTAGCTGGGATTACAGGTGCGTACCACCACACCTGGCTAATTTTTATATTTTTATTAGAGACCGAGTTTTACCATGTTGGCCAGGCTGGTTCTCAAACTGCTGGCCTCAAGAGATTCACCTGCCTCAGCCTCCCAAAGTGCTGGGATTACAGACATGAGGCACAGCACCCAGCAGTCAACTATGTTTCAGTCAGACTGTATTTTGATTGTGTGACACGAGGAAGGGTTCTTTGGTACAAACTAGACTAGGATTCGTGTGATAATATCTTGCGTTTTTTTTTTATCAATCCTCATACTTTCTCTAAGTTTCTATTTCCTCACCTGTCATATAAGATAAAAATAACTGTCATCCCAATTCATGACAGTCCAAAGAAAGACAACATATGTAAAAGCACTTTGACAACCATTTAATCATCTCCAAGTAGGACTGAGCCCAGTAGGCAGAGGTTGCTGTTAGCCAAGATCTTTTTTTTTTCTTTTTTCTTTTTTTTTTTTTTTTTTTAAAGAGACGGAGTCTCACTCTGTCACCCAGGCTAGAGTGCAGTGTCACGATCTCGGCTCACTGCAACCTTCGCCTCCCGGGTTCAAGCAATTCTCCTGCCTCAGCCTCCTGAGTAGCTGGGATTATAGGTGCATGCCACCACACCCAGCTAATTTTCATGCCCAGGTAATTTTTTTTGTATTTTTAGTACAGACGGGGTTTCACTGTGTTGCCCAGGATGGTCTTGAACTCCTGAGCTCAGCCAATCCGCCTGCCTCGGCCTCCCATGTGCTAGAATTACAGGCATGAGCCATCATGCCCTGCTGAGCTGAGATCTTTCTGTGGATCTAGTGAGTGAGATTATTCTATGGGCGATAATCCCCTGTGTGCTAGGAAGGGAAGGTAAGAGAAAGACTAGCCTCACCCTGACCTTGGATCCCAGCCCTCACACAGCTCCAGAAGGTGGAGGCAGTAGATACCGGTGTGTCAGGGAGGGGCTGCTGGCTACACTGATGTGCCCAGCAATCTCTGTGAGAGAAAATAGGTACCTTGTCTTCATGTCCCCTAGGCTGGGTTTTGGATTTAGTCCATTGAATTCAGGGACTCAGAGAGCTAAATATTTTTAATTGTAATTTTTTTCTTCTTATAAAAGTATACTAATGGAAGGAAATCTGGAAATTATAGAAAAATGTAACAAAATCTACCTATAATCCCACAATCCAAATATAACCAGAATTAACATGGTATATTTACTCTGATTTTGTCTGTTTAATTTTCACATACAGTAGTCAGCCCCCATCTGCAGTTTCACTTTCCTTGGTTTCAATTACCTGTGGTCAACTGTTTTCCAAAAATAGAGGCATACAGTATGATATTTTGAGAGAGAGAGAGAGAGACCACACTCACATAACTTTATTATTAGAGTATTGCTATAATTGTTATATTTTATTATTGTTGTTGTTAATCTCTTACTGTGCCTAATTTATAAATTAAACTTAATCATAGGTGTGTATTATATATGTAAATATGTATAGGAAAAAACAGTTTATATAGGGTTCAGTACTATCAGAGGTTTCAGGGATCCACTGGGGGTCTTGGAGCAGGTCCCCCTCAGATGAGGGGGGACTACCACATATCTTTAAATATTATTTAGCAAAGTTAAAATAGTTGAGAATATTAAACAGGTACTCTAAGCTGTGGCTATGCCACAATTTATTGACTATTTTTGTACCATTGAATATTTGTGTTTATTACATGTAAATATAAACTATTATT